ATAGATTAATGTGTAATATATCACTTCACAAACATGCGAGTTCAAACCAGGGTTTACCTTACCGCCGGTAACCGCGCGGTTACCGCGGTTACCGGGCTTACCGCGGGGTACGGTAATATAAATACCACGGTAACCTTCTTAAATACAAATAAATTTAAAAAATAATTTGAATTTTTGATAAATTTTACACGGTTTTGTACGGTTTTTCACGGATACCGCGGTTACCGCGCGGTAACCGTGCTTGCCGCCGGGGCGCGGTAACCCCGGCCCCGGCGGTAAGGTAAACCCTGGTTCAAACTCTAAACAGTGGGAGGGTACGGTAATATTACTAGCTGTCTCACTTCACTATGAACACGTACTTCATGCCTACCGTGGATTGTGGTTGTTGCCAATTCTGTCCTCGTGTGTTTGGATCAGTATCTATACTTGTAAGCGTTCAAGTCTTTTTATTCATTGATGTACTTGATCCTAATGATATGCCAAGACTGGGCAGAGCCAGGTGCGAGGCAGCTTAGGCTCGAGCCCCACACCTGACAAAAAAATTGCATTAGCATAGTACTAACTTCGAATTGAGCTCTATACTTGAGATATTCATATCTTGGCCTTGACGAAGAGTGGTAGGAGATGGAGGGCTGAGGAGGAGACAGAGGAGGGGAGGGCGGAAGTTTAATAAGTATCTCCAGGCTCACCTCCTTCTCTAGGAAAGTCTTGCCACGACTAGAATTCGAGCACTATCGTCAACAATGTATTCGGAGTCCATAACTCATAGTATTAGTGTGTGCCACATTCCGTACTATGTTTGTTTTTTATAGGACAATGGAGCAAATCCACAATGTCATGTAGTAAATTTTCCCATATATATAGTTTAGATTACTTGTGTGGTTCTTAGAATGTTCCTTTTGTATGCTTAGAACAATATATCATTTCATTTGAGTCGCCATGCGCCCGTGTAGGGAAAGGAGAGGGAAGAAAGAAACAGAGGAGAAAGAGGGAAAAGTCATTGACATGTGGGTTCCACGTGTTGATTCAGCCGGCTAGACCAAGTATGAGCCACATCAACGAAAACCACCCTCAAAATCATCGAGGAAGTTATCTTATACCGGTTTTGGTTGTTAAGGCCTTAAGGATTCAAGATATATACCTTAATATGGTTAAGGGATATGAATAAAATTGTACTTCGAGGGAATCAAAGTTGACTGAACTCTCTGAAAAGAAGTGTTATTTCTGAATATGGGCTTTGCCGCCCCAAGCTGACTGAACCGGCCCATTTAGCTACGAACGGCCTATAAAGTTTCGGCCCATTTCCACCCAACTCGCAAATAAATAGGTCGTCTTCTTCCTCCCGACTCCCTCCAAGAACTCCTCCAACTCGCTCGCCCTCCCCCTCTGCTTTTCTCTCCAAGAAATCAAGAACCAGTAGCCTCTCCACCGAGATCACGACGAACCTCCTCCACCCTGACCGAGCGATTCTTTCTCCCTCCCTTTCCTTCCCCGCGTCCACCTCTATGGACAGCGTGATCTTGCGCCACCTCATCGAGGCGCTCTTGGAGCGTCAACCGATTCTCGGCGGGGACTCCACTTTCTTGCGTCGAGCGCTGGTGTTCGGAGGTGTAACCTCCATCATATCTCCGGTACACCTGGAGTCGATCTTCACCCGCTATGGAGTTGTCATGGCGACCGTCCTGCTACGAGATGCTGTCAGATGCGAGCGCGTCGGCATGCTGGTGTTCTCCGCAGAGATCGATTGCTTGTGTGCGGCGGTGATGGAGGCGGCTCGCCCAGGCGCATACCGGACGATTTCCATGGTACAAAATTCCATGGTACAAACACCGCTTCTCTGCTTTTCTTCCCCATCCGTTCTTGCTGAGGCATTTCTTGGGTGCGAGATGTTGATCGCGGCAGTGTTCTTGGTGCAATTCTTGCGCGAAATATTGGTTTTTGGGAGCTTTGGACCGTGAAATTGGTGTTCCTTTTTGAGTTCTCCCGATTTCTTCATTTTCGATTCTATGTTCTGGTTCTGAATCGGTCTCTGCGCTTCGTTCATGTCCAGATTCTTCGCCGGGAGTTCATGTCAAAATTCTCCGTATTTTGGTTCTGATTTCTGAATTGGCTTCTGCGGGTGAATGTTCATGCTTCTCCCTCTTTGTTCATGTCCTAATTCTTTCTGTTCTGGTTCTGAATTGGTCTCTACAGGTGAATTTTCATATTTTCTCCCGCTTTGTTCATGGCCAAATTCTTTCTGTTGGTTCTGAATTGGTCGCTGCAGGTGCCTGTTCATGTTTCTCCCTTTCCCGTATTGTTCGTTTCTTGATTCTCTGAATCGGTTGCTGCAGGGTGAATCTTCATGTTTCTCTTGCTTCATTCCACTTCTGATGCTCTGAATCTGTTGTTCTTGTAGGTTGATGACGAGATTCTGCATAATTCGGTAGAGCTTGTGAAGGATGCAGCCGACCAGCAGAGCCGGCGGAGCTCGACCGCCGAGGCATTCCGCCGAATGGTTCCCTGGCGATATCTGGAGGCAGACGCCCTGGAGGACATCAACTTGCGGTGCCTGCTGCTGAGGATGGGGGCAAGGAGCACGGCTACGCCCGGATATCTGTACGGCGTCGCGAGGTCAGAGTTGGCAGCGAGCGGCAGAGCGTGCGCGGTGGTGGCTTACTACTCGAGCAGGATGGCCATGGTGGTGTTCGACGAGTCCAGGGACATCGAGCGATGCGGCAGCAGGTCCGCGGAGCTGATCGCCTTCCACCTCGGCCTCTACGACTCGGGCCTCTTCCCCTTGGTCGCGGACGGCGCCGGCGGCAATGGCGCGGTGACGCGGGACCTCCTCCCGCTGTTCTGCCTCTCGCCGGACTTCCTCGGCCGCGTCGTCCTTCTCCGGGGACCCGGCATCGCCGAGCTCGACGCCGGCGAGGCGTGCCGTCGCGTGGAGGAGCTCCACCCGGTGGAGGCGCTCCTGGTGCACCGCGGCGACCGGCTCGCGGTGGTCGTGGCGCGCAGCCGCGGCGACGCCCGCGCGCTGACGGCGGAGTCCGGCGAGTTCTGGAGGCGCGCCTGCGGGCCGCAGCCGATCACCGCCCAGCTCATCGACGACCCGTCCCCGGCGTTCATGCCTCGGCCATTGCTGTACCCCGAGGTGGTGAACTTGGCGGTCGCTCGCGCCCACCGAAGGATGGATCGGTGCACGCTGGATGATCTCCATGGATTAGGCCGGGGATTGGTCGAGCTCGAATCACTCCGGCCATCTTCATCTGTTCGTCAGGGCAACCTCGCACGCCGGGGCTTCATCCTGCTGGGCTTACACCAAGACATGACAGAGGATTACCTGATGCAATACTTCGGTGACGTCGAGAGCTGCGTCGTGTACATGGCCAGGAGGGCGGCTCTGGTCATCTTCTCCACCCCAGAAGCTGCAGCCAGAGCACTGAGGACGCCCATGGCGGATGGTCGCAGCCGGGATACGCCGCGAGACGATCAGGTGGTGGACTATCTGCTTCTGCTCCAGTATACCATGCTGAGGGTAGACGACCCACTAGCTCATGAAGACTCCCAGCCTCTGATTCCGGCCAATTATGTCCTCCCTCCTTAGAGTAGATTGGTGTGTGTACAACTGTAGGTTTCTTTCAGCCTTTTGGTTCTGTTCATTCATTCATTCATTCATTCATTCGGGTTCTTTGATCCTGATATGATCATATCTGTCTCTGAACAGCACTTTTGATGATCGATTGAGTGTGCTCTGTGGTTGCAAAGTTTTGTACTAGCTTTGTGTTGCTGCTACTGTAACCATATTGTCCCTTGCAGTGCAACTTGCTGAAAGAAAAAGAAAAGGAAAGAAATGAAACTTTCAGACTCAATTGCTGCAATTTTTTTTGCTTCTGCAATGACATTCTGAAAATCAGTGTTTAAACAGTAGTACAGTTCTATGTTCATGCTTGATAGTTACAGATTGCAGTTTATGTTTGTGTGTATTGTAGTACAGTTCTACCTGATGTTCATGCCTGATGGTTATATATTGCAGTGTGTGTTTGTGGTGTGTAGGCTTCAAAATTGGGAAATGATACTCATCACCCGAAGTATTTTCAGATTTCCGGTAAAGATGTGTGGTACAGTTGTTACTTAATGTTCATGCGTGAGCGTGATGGTTACAGATTGTAATGTGTCTGTATGTTGTGTGTAGGCTGTGAAAAATGTGAAAATAGTACTCATCACAGAAGTAGTTTCAGACTTTCAGTAAAGATGATGATTTGAGACAATCTGTTGTACTAACTGAAATGAAAGGGGAAAAAAAGAAGAGAAACTTGAAGGTGCAGCGTTACCTCAATGATCGGTGGAATTTGGACGTCTTAAAATCTTGTCATGATCCTTCCGGGAGCGCTTCCTGTTGTGTACTTGTGTGATCACAAATTCTGAAATCTCCATCTTGAGTGCCATCACAGATTCTGAAATCTCTATCCTGAGTGCCAGTGGTTTGGTGTTGAACATGAACTATCCCAGATTCTAAAATCTCTTTATCTCTTGCCGTCGACCAAGAAGATGAAGTTGTCCGACGAGTGAGGCAGTGTGCTGGAGATTGGGGATGCCAGTAGCTATTCTGGGGTGTTGAAAACGTTCTTATTATGTGTTTCCCGTGTGATCGCTAAAGTTCAATTTTTAAACCTAAATTTTGAAATTTGAAATTCACAAATGTATTCTCCGTTTAGGATTATTTTTATGTCCTCTTTGGTACCAACAGGATCCGTGGCGCAATGGTAGCGCGTCTGACTCCAGATCAGAAGGTTGCGTGTTCGATTCACGTCGGGTTCAATACCCCGATCCTTTCGGATCCCTTTTTTTTCTTTCTGTTCCGTATTAACTCTTTTTGGGCCCAATTTTATAGAGGCCCAATAAAGGTCCAATTTTACCTTATATTCCATTGAAGGCCCATTATTCACAAAGCCCAGGAAGCCGACAACCTGAGGTCTATTCTGTATAAAGCCCAGGAGGCCCACCACATCGACCGCCTCCAGACCAAAACCCTTAACCCACTTCTCGAACCTTCTCCGCCTCTCCTCTCTTCCTCCCCACCTCCGTCTCCTCTCTTCCGCACCGGCGAATCCCCAGGCGAGCCTTCTAGAACCTTCGATTGCTCGGGCGGGCCTCCTCCTCCGCGAGCCGCAGCCATGGCGACCGTCATGCAGAAGATCAAGGACATCGAGGACGAGGTAACGAGCTCCCCTTCTCTAGGGCCGGCGTGCCCCGCCCCGCCGCCCTCCGACGATCCGTAGCTGTCGCGGATAGATTTGCTGCTCTCGAGGGTAGTAGTGGTTGGGGTTGCGGTTTTGGTTGCTTCGTCTCGAGCTGAATTGGTTTGATGCTGCTTTGTGATGGCGTGATGTGTGCTAGTTTTGGTGGTTTGGACGGTAGATTAGGTCAGGGAAGCTATGGCTCGTGGGTTGGAAGCAGCATGTCATGATTTTTTTTTTTAGTATTAGTTCAGAACTGTTAGGTTTTAACTGCGAGCGGCATGCGATGTAGTGGGCTTGTGGCTTTGAGCTGCTCTAATTCAATGAAATGTTACTGTTCATACACTTGTGCTTGGTGAAGGTCGGAGATAAGTTAGACTTGGGGCAGCATTCCAGTCTCGAGGCTGGGCTAATATCATTTTCTTACCTAGTTTATATTCATATGGTTTTGGGATTTTTTTTGTCTTATTATTGGTTGTAATTTGGAGTATTGCTGGATCTAATAGACACATTTTGAGGGTATTAGTGATTTGAAATGTTGGAGGTTGTTGTGTCGTCAATTTGAATATGATGGTGGAACCCTGTATATCTGTTTCTTCATTAGTTATGATTGAGAATTCAGAGATTCTGTAACTGTTGTTGGAATGTAGCTAGGACTAGGGTATTGAATGTTTTGTGTGGTCAATAATGGTAAGAGTACGGGAAATCGATGATATTTCATGAGTCATTTTTCTGTTGTGATTCAGTGGTCTTTTGTCAAAGGCTGCATACTGCAGGTGCAAGTGCATAGATTGCTTTAGTTGCATCTTGCATTTGCATGGTGATGATTTAGTACCATAGTACCTTTCTAGTTATACATATAGTTGTTATCTTGGTTCATAATTAGCAACAGTAACATTTTTTTTATCATGAGCAACACTACCATAACTGTTATGCCATTTGAGAAACCGAGAATTGAATAACTGGAAAAATGGATAGGAACATCTCTAATAGTAAACGAAACAGCTGATGCTTCCACTTTCTAATCCCTTTGCTGATGTTCGTGGCTTTTCTTTGACTTGATAGATGGCAAGGACGCAGAAGAACAAGGCCACTGCACACCATCTTGGTCTTCTGAAGGTAATGTGAACTCCGTCCATCTTTAATTTAAAATGCTAGTAGTATGTCTGCTGTTGTATTAAAATCCTAAGAAATTGGCCCATAGGCAGATTAGCTATTTCTGGTTCACAATAAGTTATGCCTTCATGCTTCTGAGTATATCTTGCCTACTTCATGATCAAACGTATGCATCTGCTGAATTCCGTTAGTTCAATTAAATCAGTAGCATGGTTATCTTACCTTTCCCTGCGCATGAACCTTAGTATAAAACTGCTGTATCAGGTTCTATTCCATTCCACAATAATATGTGTCACTTTGGTAAGAGTTTGCATTTAAGGTAAAAAGTGCTTGAAAGGATGGTCATAAGTTCCATCCTCAGGACCTAGACAAATTATTTCATTGTTCTCTGTGTTAATTTCACATATTCTTGCTACTAGAACCTGTGTACTTTTTGTTTAGTTTAATCTGCCACTTCTACAAATTATTGTCTTTTTCCTAACTGTTTTCCTCTTATCAGGCTAAACTTGCAAAATTACGCCGTGAGTTGCTGACTCCTACATCCAAAGGTGGTGGTGGCGGTGCTGGCGAGGGATTTGATGTGACAAAAAGTGGAGATGCACGTGTTGGTTTGGTGGGCTTTCCTTCAGTTGGAAAATCAACATTGTTGAACAAGCTGACAGGAACATTTTCAGAGGTGCTGTACGAATGCTATCTACATATTCATTTACGAGGATCTTCCCCCACTTAGTTGAGCACCCTTTGTATTAGATAAACGCACACACACATTTTTATGCCTCTACTGTGTCCGTCTTTTATTCATCAATTTCATGGATATGTTTAAGTAGTTTTCATAGTTGGATATTCCAAGTGGCCAAGTCGGTTTTTCCTACAACTATTGCCGAGTTTGTATGCTATAATGGCGTGGTCTTATGAACCTGTCCCTGTTGTTGATTCAACAGGTTGCAGCCTACGAATTCACAACTTTAACATGTATTCCTGGAGTTATAATGTACAAAGGGGCTAAAATCCAGGTAATTATTTACTCTCATAAAGTAAGATACATGCCTGAGTTTATCCGCTCTTGGTTGATAACTAGCCTTTCTTTTTCAGCTTTTAGATCTTCCAGGAATCATTGAGGGTGCTAAAGATGGAAAGGGTAGAGGAAGGCAGGTAATATGTCCTGCTCTCACAGTTTTGAATTGGTACTAATGCTATTGGATTTGTATATTCTTTTGCACTGTGTAAACATTTGTTTTTCTGACTCTCTTTGTTTAAAATTGCCATGAGTCATATGGTATATATGAACAATTTATTGTTTGCAAGATTTCTTATGCAACCTTTATAGGAATCACCTGACTACTTCAGCACTTGTCTCTTGTATAAATCATCTAGGCAGCTGCATGTACTCACAGAAGTGCACTGTCACTTCTCATGATAATATTTGTTTAAAAAGAGGGAAATATGTTCTGTATAATAGTAACATTTTATCAATTGGTATGTGATTTCCACTTTCTGGTTAACAATGCAGAACTTCCTTAAATGTATATGTGATGGAAATCAGACTAGTTGTTAGATATGCTCTTGAATGTTTTGAAGGCTGAATGAGCTTTTCATCTTGAACATGCAATACTGCAATTTAAGTGAACATTATCTGTACCATGCATGTTGAAGTTATCTAACTTTTGCACGCCTAACAATGTGGCAGCAAGGTTCTATTTATCCTTTTAATTTAATGACACTGTGTTTCACTAAGAAAAAATCAGTATTTTTTTAGGAGACAAGTCTCACATGCTTTAGATATCCTCACATCGAACCCAAGGACTTCTCTCCCTATATCAAATAGTAATATTATATGCAATAATTAAGCATATTTTTGTTGTTTGTCAGGAAGTTATGCTGTTTTCCCTTCTAGTCTGATAGATAGCTTACATGTTTTTCAGGTTATCAGCACAGCAAGGACATGCAATGTCATTCTGATTGTTCTTGATGCCATTAAGCCAATAACCCACAAGCGGCTTATTGAGAAGGAGCTTGAGGGATTTGGCATTAGGTATGTTTTGACTTTCTTTTGGGTAGAAGATGTTTCAGCGGTGTTTGCCATACTATACAAAACTTGCTAAGGGTGCGTTCGGCGGTGAGAGTTCCCAACTTTACTCTCTCGTTTTCAGCGCGCACGTTTCTCGAACTGCTAAACGGTGTGTTCTTTGCAAAAGAAAAATATGTAGGAAAGTTGCTTTAAAAAATCATATTAATCTATTTTTAAAGCATTTTTAAGCTGAAACTCAATTAATTATGTGCTAATAATCCTTCACTTAGTTTTCCGTGCTGGGAGGCAATGTTGGGAATCTTGCCTCCCGAACTCAAGCCTAAATAGCTTTTGTTTTTTCATTCTTTTCTGCTCGCCTCTGTCACCATGAGCACAAATAGAATCAAACAAATTTATATGACACCATTCATCTTAGTTTTCGTCGGTATGTCATTCATCCAATTTTATGAAGAGTAACTGCGCCTACTGGATCATGGGAAACTCAAGAAGTCAAGATGCTATGTCCACTCTTGCTCACTACAAGTTCATTTCACTCTCAAGAGTTCTTTTAGGCCATGCTATCTTCCCTGCTGAAAGAAGGCTGATGTTTAATCTTCATGAACCCTGTATCAAATGATAGGTTGAACAAGACACCCCCCAATTTGACATTTAGAAGAAAGGACAAGGGTGGCATCAATTTTACATCAACTGTGACGAACACAAACTTGGATCTTGAAACAGTAAAAGCAATCTGCAGTGAGTACAGGATACACAATGCTGATGTCTCCCTTAGATATGATGCAACAGCAGATGATCTCATAGATGTGATTGAGGGAAGCAGAATTTACATGCCTTGCATCTATGTTGTTAATAAGATTGATCAGATAACACTTGAAGAGCTGGAAATCTTGGATAAACTTCCCCACTACTGCCCAATTAGGTGAGAATTTAATTGACATCTTTTGTTGTGCTTTATTCCATTCATTTTGCTCCAACAAGTAAAGCAGACTCTCCCTTTCCTTTTATTTGTCCACAGTGCTCATCTTGAGTGGAATCTCGATGGTCTTCTAGAGATGATCTGGGAATACCTGGATTTGGTTAGGATATACACAAAACCGAAAGGTTTAAACCCAGATTATGAGGACCCTGTAATCGTATCCTCTAAGAAGAAAACAGTGGAAGACTTCTGCAACAGAATCCACAAGGACATGGTGAAACAATTTAAATAGTGAGTATCTTCATTTGTATCTTGTCTGAATATTTTTGTCCCTGTTATCCATCTGTGTGGCTAACTGCTCACAAAACCTGCAGTGCATTGGTGTGGGGTTCTAGCGTGAAGCATAAGCCTCAGAGAGTTGGCAAGGTAGGCATTCTTCAACTACTACCATGTTTCGCTGCCATGATCTATCTTTTTTTAGGGGATATCTCCTAATATTAATTTGGGAGGCTTTGTGCAGGAACATGAGCTTGAGGATGAGGACGTTGTCCAGATCATCAAGAAAGTTTAGGTATATTGTAGTGGTCACGTTCTGCAAACCTGGAAGGAGGTATGAGCTATGAGAATTTTGAGAAGCAGTCACTTTTACTGCGTGTTATTTTGCTAGCTATGATGCCCATAGATGATTGGCTGTTCCCATGAACGTTTCAATGCAATCAAAATGTAGACGGACAGATTTTCCTTCTGTCAAGTTAGCCTTGTAATTGTGATCTTTGTCTGATCTTCCTGTTGCTATATATATGGTGAGTCACCGATGAACACAGCAGTTGAACACATGGAAAGATGCTTTGCTTATCTTCAGAAAGATGAAAGATGATTCACATGCTACAAGTGTCCCAGTTATGATTGCTATTAGCCATTATATTGAGATCACCAATACCAAATTCATTTTTTTTTATGACGAAGAACGTGAGGGCGACTTGGAAAAGGTATTAATGGTTCGACGATTATTATTGTATCGAATCGCATAGAGATGACTTGGCTGTTGATGCGATTGTCGCAATGTTATCTGTAATATATTTGTCATTATAAATACACACACGAATCTTATCTGCAACGGAGGCGATGATCTGTATTACAGCAAGTATCCAACAAACTAGAAGGATGTACGGAACATCGCTTTTCCGTTGCATGTGACAATGCTTTGTCATATTGCGAGCAGCTGATTGGCGAAACGGGCTGTTCCAGCATGTTCTCTTTTAATTATTTGGCTTGCGAAACATGACGGCCACTGCGTGTAGATCTCTTATTGTTTACCGCTTGCTTGGCGAGATATATTCCTGTAATGCTCCTTATTTCGATCAGTTTCATCTGCCAGCTGACTTTAACCTGTCGATGTCCCCTGAGATCATGGAAGATTGGAAGTTAGGGCAGTCCTAGTGTAGACATAATTGGTATAGTGTCTATTTATCATTCACATCATCTTTAGTACAAGATCAACTCCTCCAAGGCACACAGTACTATTTCAATAAATAGACTAATTACTTTTTTATAAAAAAATCAACAGGTAGCATCCCTCTCTTACCATGCATTTGATTTAGCGTATCGGTGGCTCTTGCATGTGATCCAGGCCTTCCTTTCTCCTCTTAATTCAAGTGACTCTTACTAGTTAAAGCATTGGTAATGATCTTACAGCTCATGTGATCCTTCGACATAAATACAGTTCTGGAGCAGTTGAGTTGCTATAAATCTATTTTGTCAATTGCGTAGAAGGTTAATTTTGGATGTAGAGGCTGGATTGATTTGAACTATAAAGAGAAAGAACTGCGTAAGAAGCTAATAGGAGGATTACATGGCTAAACCACAATTTAGAGTCTCCTAAACTATGTCTGAAGTTACTTGTGCCATTGTTGCCACCACTGTCACATGTGCCTTTATTGCCACCAGGAGTAGTGCTTTGTATGTTACGAGTACAAGCCTTTTCAAGTTTTATTTTAGTTAAATTTATTTAGTTTTGATCAAGTTTATAGAAAAAATTAGCAACATCTATAATACTAAATTAGTTTCATTAAATATAACATTGCATATATTTTGGTAATATGTTTATTTTTTTTTGGAAATATTACTATATTTCTTTACAAGCATAAAAAAGTTTAACTAAAAAAAATAAAGTGATTTATAATATAAAAAACGGAGCAAATACTTGTTTATTTATTTATGCTTGTGTGATTTTACCATATCACTTTGGTGGTGTCACCTCAGTCGACCAGCTTCTTGTTGATTGGCGAAAAATACCATTATACTTATAGCTAGTTCATAATCTTCTAGTATTATACTTGCTCTAATAGAATAGAATCTGGCTAAAACTTCAAAGAAGAAATAAAAAACTTATAAAAGATAATAGGATCATATAATATGTTTGGTACCGTCTAACTAATCAACGTACTAATTGTTGTTTTCGTAGGAAGCACATTTGACGTGGTGGTGAAATTCTAAACAATTTCACTCAACAAGTTAATAGAACATGATTTTTTGTGTAATAATACTAATATAAATAATAAAAGAAAAGGAATTACACATCTCTTCCTCCGGTTACTTTCTTTAGGGAAAAAAAAGCCCACAATGTTAATTATTGGGAGCAAAAATGTTCCTCCCTAATTAACAAGGAATATCCGCAAGCAATAAAGGGGAAGGAGGTGAGATGAAGCCCTACCTTTTGATTGGGATTTGCTCTTGAATCTGCTTCCAAACCATCGATTCATCATCCATCTCTTCCAGTCTTCCTTCGCATTCTCCTGGAAAAAAATCAGAAAAGAAAAAGGAAAAATCTCTTGTACTCTCCTCGATTCTGCAATTTTTGTTTGGTTGTCCCAACAAAAATCCCCCAATTCTCCCCAAGAACAGGAGCACACGACCCTGTTCCTGTCCCCTAGATCTGCGTGGAGGCGGCGAGAAAACCTCAATCCGGCACAAGGGGCTTGTGGTTGATACCCCGGAGCGCCGTCTAATTCCAATCTTGGTAGCTGCCGGCGGTGCTTCCGGTGGTAGACGAGGAGATGGTGCCGTGGGAAGGGTATGTGAGCGACGAGACGATGGGGACGTTCGCGCCCATCGCGCTGTACTGGGTGTACGCCGGCGGCTACCAGCTGGTGCTGCACCGGCGGCCGCTGGAGCGGTACAGGCTCCACACGCGGGCGGAGGAGGAGGAGAAGAACCTCGTCGCCCTCCCCGCCGTCGTCCGCGGCGTGCTCCTGCAGCAGCTCGTGCAGGCCATCGTCGCCATGATCCTCTTCATGGTAAGGGATGTTGTGTGGTGATGTTTCAGCTTCTAATTCGAATGACGCTGCCGTGGAGATGAAACTGATTTTAGAAGTTTCAGATATAACACAGCAATGATCAGTGTTGGAATTTCACGCATTTTTTTTTATCTAGGTCGAGCCATTCATTGAATTGGTTTGCAACCCATTGGGCTCCTTGCTACCATTACTATCTTTAGTGGAAAACCGTTGTTTTGCTGTCTTTCTGGTTTTGATTCTTAGATTAGGAAAATTGATGATATTCCACTGTTTAGATGCGTGTTCTAGGATTTGCCAGAGCTGTAGGCATGTCAAAGAGAAATACTCTTTTGCACATTTACTGGTAGATGATATAGTAAATTTTATTTCCAGGCAATTTTGTGCATGGGCAGTTCATTTGCAGACATTATCTCAGCTATCCTTCCTATGGTGTGCGTATATGTTCCATGACTTCTGAAGCTTGACTAATGGACAGCAGCACATTATGGTGTTTGTGCGCAATCTCCGGAATATCCTTAGGGTGGTCATTTGGCTTGTAGGCTCTTAGCTATTTTACCTGCATACAACATTTCTTGGTTTTCGCGTTGTGCATAATAAAGCCATTGAACAATATGTCCTGAAATTGAATTACAGAATTCGTGTTAGACAACTCTTTGTTAATGAACCCTTTAGTTAAGGGACTACACTTGATACTCCTGAGAGCTGTACCCATCGCTGTCTTGTTGTGGTGCGATTTAACAGCCAGCATGCCCCTTCATTTTTCAGTGCTCACAAATATTTGGCCTGTTCTCTAATTTCATAATGAAACTTACGTGGCCCTTTGATCCTAGGGCTGGATCCCTATAAGCCGTAGGCGTCGCTCTGGCCTGGCATCCAGCACCACCAAAACTGCAAGCTGTTCCTGCTGCAAAATAAGTTAACGCCTGTTGAGTACTGCCCGATTCAGGTCCCTGGCATCATGAGAGCCTGGAGGTTATATTTTGTGTCATATATACAACACCTATTGTATGTATAGGTGTGCACCTTTTTTTTTGTTTTTGTTGTAATTAAGCCCTAGGCCATGTACATATTACCATGTGATGTTACAGATTGGGAGAAACTGACTTCTATAGCCTACCTCCCATTTCCCTATGCACTGTGTAATGTCATTGTGCTTGTGTTTATATTACATTAGCGCTATTTTCTTAGGATGTTGAGGAGTTTCAATAAGCTAAAGCTGTGGTTTGTTTTTCAATGGGTAACTTATCCATCATCCACCCTTTCTTACCCAGTTATGAATTATTTGCAGGTTACTTCAGATAGTTCAGCAGTTGTAGTTCAGCCACCTATCATCATTCAAGCTTTCCAGTTTTTGGTTGCAATGCTTGTCATGGATTCATGGCAGTATTTTGTGCACCGCTACATGCACCAGAACAAATTCCTCTATCGGCATATCCATTCACAACATCATCGGCTGATAGTTCCCTACGCCATTGGGGCTCTCTACAACCATCCATTGGAGGGACTCCTTCTGGACACCGTGGGTGGTGCTATCTCCTTCTTGGTCTCTGGCATGACACCAAGGACTTCCGTGTTCTTCTTCTGTTTTGCTGTCCTCAAGACAGTTGATGATCACTGTGGACTTTGGTTACCGTATAACATCTTCCAGTCCTTGTTCCAAAACAATACTGCCTATCATGATGTCCACCATCAGCTTCAAGGCTCAAAGTACAATTACTCTCAGCCTTTTTTCTCAATCTGGGACAGAATACTGGGGACCCACATGCCCTACAACTTAGTAAGACGGAAGGAAGGCGGTTTTGAAGCAAGACCACTGCGAGACTAGCTTGAACCGATGGAAGTGTATAGAACTCCAGCAACTCAGTGAGATACAATGCTCTACCTCCCTTTCATATGTTTAGAACCTCATAGGGACCAATCTAACTTCGAAGATGTTGAAGCTGTTCAAGTACTCCCAGATTTTCTTTTTCGCGTCTTGCTGGAAGCAATACGCTAGTCGGGATTTGGGAAGACACTGAAGCTCTTGCGCGATGCTTGTTCTTACACCTGCTGTTAATCTAGTTAGATCGGTCACCTGGAATGTGTGTGGTACTGTATGGTTTGTCTTGATGGCTTTTCTCCTTGTCATGGCTATTTTTTGTGCAGAGCTGGCATTTACATTGCTGTGCAGATAGTGTATTTGGAATCACACTTCTGTATGTACCCCCAATTATTTATGTAACTGAATATCTGGGCATGGTTGGTAACTTCAAAGTTCAAACCAATCTTTATCTACTACTGTATAGTAGTTTGTTTGATCAATTACAGATCAACTTTGATGGTACTCATGTTTCCATTTCTAAGTGTAGCTTTTACAGCTGTTGAAAACCAAAGACCTCCTGAAGCTTAAGCTTGCATGTTGGGTTACATATTGGTTGATCTGGAGTTCATTTCACTTGAGGCTTGAGAATGTTTGTGTTTCCTATCATAAGATTTGTGTTTTGCAACAGGATTTTAATTAAAGATAATTATCATGTCCAATCATTATTTTCTTGCATATAGATTCAGTACTCACGGCTACCACTACTCCCTTCTGAAGGAGTATAGGCCCTTGGACAGTACATCATCATTAGGGATGCAAGCGGGTCGACCCACGAGCTCACTTAAAGGTTAAATAAGTGATAACCCATGGGTTTTCGCGCCGTGGCCTGACTTACCATGCCTCGGGATGCAAGTGGGTTAACCCATAAACCTATTTTTAGATTAAATTAGTAGGTAACTCACAAGTCAGTTGGTGAGTACCCGCTAATTTTGCTTATAAGCGAGCTTGCGTGTTAGCCCGCTTGCATCCCTAATCAACATCACTGTCATCCCTAATCTCATCCATCTCTTATCGTTGCAGACGGTTTAATGGGGGATTAAAACGCAAAGCATGGGACCTCTAGCTATTAGCGGCCAAAATAGGGGCCAAAATGCAAATTGGCTCGTTGCATTTGGAGGCCCAAAATCTCAAATTCTCAAGGCTTCTTCCAACCCACGAAGCCCCCAAAAAAAGCCCAAAACCAGTAGCAGCAGCGGAGCGGGGCGCCGTGGACTGACGGCGACGTCGCCGGAGAAGCAGAGGCGGCGGCGGCGGCGGGCGACGAAGGCGACATCACACCGACGGCGATGTGATCCCCGCGAGTGATTTGTGCCATCATTGGATGCCACGTCACGCGTCGGCAGTTGGCACGTCGACCCGCGTCGTCTCAATTTATTAAGATTAATTAATTACTACTACGACTCTACGAGAGTGGTAAGTAACAACGAGTCATCGCAGAAAGCATCAGCTCACCTGCGAAGCTGAGATGAGCCCCAGGTGTTCTTCTATTTCTACCGGCAAATTCTTCGTCGGCAGAAAAAAAAATCAAGAGAACACTACACCGAAATGATGATAAAGCAAAATATTACAGCATTTGCATCTCATCATCTCATTAATCATAGTAGGCTGCAGTATTTTGATTATTTACTATATTGATTAGAACTTTAACACATACAACCAGATTTGGAATTTGTGATTTAATCCCAGATGCTGTAACTCAATAGTAAACTCATAGAAGTGAAGTAATTAATTTATGTGTAGAAGAACACCACCTTATTTCTATTTTGGGAGGGATTATGATCCTATATACATAGCTAAATGATGAGATTTTAGAGAGGGAGAGAGATCGAGTTGGCGCTAGAACCCGCGGTGGCCGGAGTCGTCGACGTCGTCGTCCTGCGAGTAGAAGTCGACGATCTCCGACAGGTCGGCGGCGGCTGATTCGTCGTCGTCGTAGCCCAGCATCCCCTTGTCTCCGGCCGCCTGCAGCCACAGCAGGTGCTCGAACAGCAGCACGTCCACGGCGACCGCCACCGCGCCGCCGCGGGTCCGCCGCCCGGCCGCCGCGAGGAGGCGCCGCACCGGCCCGGCCTCGAGCACGGCCTGGTCGACGTGGAACACGCTCCTCTCCCCCTTCGTCGTCCCCACCTCCACCCTAATCACATCCCCCGCCGCGGAGGAGGAGTCGAGGCGCCGGTACCCTCCGCCACCGCCGGCGCCGCCGCGGCGGGACGCAGAGCGGAGGAAGGTGTAGCAGCCGGCGGAGGACGGACGCGGCGACGGGGCCTCCTCCTCGGCCTCGGCGGCCGCGGCGGCGTGGCCGTGGCGGCGGTGGTGGTGGTGGGGCATCGCCGATTCGCCGGGTTTCGTGGCTTGCGGGAGGAGCGAAGCGATTGCTTTGTGGTGGTGGTGTTTGTGTGGGCGGGTGTGTGCTTCTTTTCTTTTCTTGGGGTGGGGAGCCTTTTTATGCAGTGGGTTTGGAACTAACGGTCGGCTTACGGGGCAGCTCGGTTTCCTCCCTCGTTCCATATTGGATCATGTGATTTTTGGTTTCTTTTTCCCTTACATTGGCCTTGATTGTAGTGTGCTTTTTTGTTCTTTTGTTTTTTTGAATTTGTTACTACCTTGATCCAAAATGTTACTCCATCCCTCCCAAAATTATAGGACCCAAATTATAGGACGTCCCCTTTTTAAGAAAAATAAAACTCAATAACTTTTGACTAATAATTTTACTAACTATATCTATACTGAGTATTATTGAGTATTATGCATGTTATATCATTAGATTCATATTTTAAAGTACTTTCATGTGATGCTAATTTTATATTCGTTGGGATCATAGAATGAAATAAAATATTGATTAAAGTATGTTATTGAATATCGTGTAAAAAATATAGGTCTTATAATTTGAGACAGAAAGAGTACTATTTCGTACCGGATAATGACGTATCTTAATTCTACGAATCTGACATAGGTAATAATATTTTGAGATGAATGTAGTACAAAACTTTCGACAATTTTTCTTCAAAACTTTTAGATTTTCAACTCTCTAAGATTCGTGTTGGAACCGAAGGTATCAACTATTATATATGCTTCAAGATTTGTGATGTATTTCTAACATGAGTGCATCCATGTGAGTGTAATTTTGTGTCGTAAGATCTAAATTTCAGTGGGTGAAGTTATACAAATATGATTCCAACGCGACGCTTGTAGTGCTTCTTTTCCCTGATTTTTCTGCATTTTTCAACACGAATAAAAACTAGTACAAAGCACTTTGTAAAAAAAAATCGTGCATTTCAAACATGGCTTCGCTAACAAAAAAGTATTTCCACCTAACCCTACTTTGAAACAAAACAAATCATTCAAAGCTAATTTACAGGTATCGGCTCAATTCATGCGTCATTTGCAAAATAAGTTCTCGATCTTTAAAGAGATTTCACTGTTTAGACAGGTTTTGCAACAAACTGGTACTGTTCATGAAATGCTACAGTGGCCTTGGTGCCATCAACCGGACACGTAGGTTGTGTGTGTTCATTAGAGTTGGCGCCATGTGCAAGAATACTGAAGTAGCAATGGCTCGGTTTTTCAGACAACCACTAATCACCGCACTGATCTAGTACTCCCTATCTCCTAAATTATAAGACATAAGACATATATTTTTTATACATGGTATTTAATAATATACTTGGATCAGTATTTTATTTTATTTTATGATCCTAATAAATATAAAATTAACATCACATGAAAGTAGTTCAAAATAAATTTAATGATATAACATATATAGTACTTAGTATAGTTATAGTTATAGTTAATATGATTATTAGTTAAATCTATCGAGTTTAATTTTTCTTAAAAAGGGGTGTCGTATAATTTAGGAAGTATTCTTCTTATAATCTACTGCTCCCTATCAGGGTTTCAAATTTCAAAATTAGGGTTTCTACCGAGGGGGAGCGATAGAACCGAAATTTCAGAAATTTTAGAATTTTTTCGTACGAATTTTTTTGAAATTTTGACTAATTTTGAATGGATTTGAATAAAATTTGACCAAATTCACAAAAATTTACAAAAAAACCGAAAGTTTTGGGCGAGATATGAACATTTCGGTGGGGGGCGAAATTTCGGAAATTTCGAACCGAAATTTCAAACACTGCTCCCCATAACTTGATTAGCTTAAGGATTAGTACACGAGCAAATTAACGTCAGAAAGTGGTTGTTAGCCGGAAAAAAGGCTCCTCGGATTGAGGTAATTAGGCCAAAAGGAGACCCGCTCAAATTCCAAAATGTTTGGTGGAGTATATAATTAGGGCAACTAGTTAACAGTAATTTTCAAGGTGCAAAATCGAACGAAATGTCGAATCGTATTTATTACTTCAGACAGAACCAGTCTCTGGGGTGTTTGGGAGAGAGGGGCTCAAAAACATAAGTCCCAGGCTAAAGTTTAGCCTCTCTCTTCCAAACACCCTCTCTAGCTACGTGTTGTCCATTTGGAATCTGTTAACTTCAGCTGGCAGAGGTATACCATACCCATCATTCGCGCGTTACATCGTCAGTTTGCGTGCAATCAACTCATCGTCCATATTACACTTGGACGCATAATCAAAGGAACATAAATTAATTCAAAAAATTTGTTACGACACTAAACATATACTGTACTACTTCTATGTCGATCGAACTGCCACGTAAGGTTACCATGCTTATTATATTCGATTATTAATTTGTTGATTAATTAATTAAAGAGTCTGGTTTAATTAGACGTACGTGTGCACACACGTTGCGACTCGTGATATGTTTTTATAAATTTTAATCAGGCAGCTGCTGCCTACGTGGCCTGGCACGTGGCGTCGTCGCCGGCTGCCTCGCTCCCTGCTCCGGCGACCGTTCCTCCGGGAGACCCACACGTGCGCCCGACGTGTACAACCGCCGCGAAGAAAACTCGCAGCTAATCCATGCTCTAGTTCACCTCTTCTACTCTCGATCTCCATCACCGATTCACCGATCGGTCGAGTAGGGCAGCCATGGGCGGATCAAGGAACAACAATGGCGGGAAAACGGCGGAGGCGGCGGCGGCGGCGAGCGGCACGGCCAACACCGTCGTGGCGCTCGTGCTCCTCCTCGTCGCCGCGTCGGCCGTCGTGTTCTTGCTGTCGCCGCCGACGCCGGCGGCGACGCGGATCGGCCGTCACGGCGACGGCGGCCCCCGCCGCGAGCCGGTGGAGCTGGCCATCGGGCTCGCCGGACACGAGAGCTGGCTCGACGCCGTCCGCGCCTGGGCGAAGCTGGCCTGCCTGAAGCTCCGGCCGCCGGAGCCGCGGTAAATCTCACTCTCATCATCCACTGTCATGTCAATCCTACTCAGGTCATGTCGATGAAATAGCGTTATTGGTTTTTGATTTCTTAAAACATGTTTAATCATTCGGCATATTTAGCGAAAAAGGCATATAGCCTAGTGGTTATAGTGACCTGAGTAGCACCCCCAAGTTTATAAGTTCAAATATTCATAGGGGCCAATTTCAAATTGGGTTATTTAAGGGCTAGTTCTTCTTCATTCGATAGGCTAATTTTCTATTTAAAAAAGCTGGATATATCCGGTTGGATATAGAAGCCGGCTAAAAAATACATTTCTCTAAATAAAAAAAATAAAAAGTTTATGTAATTATTAATTATTTTATTATAATTATTTTATTATTAAAATACTTTAAACGTACTTATACAAAATTTTTAAATAAGATAAATTGGTGAAACATGTGTTTAAACGTTAACCTTTAAAAAACGAAGGGATTATGTATATATTTTGCAACTAGTACATGTATACATGTTGTGTTGCTTGTGTGTTTTTTGGGCCAGTGAGAAAGTGGCGTGGTGCTGTTCGAGGAACGGCGCGGCGGTCGAGGTGTGTATTCTCACGGCGGCGTGTGTGTGCCAAGGTACGATCTGCGCAGCCCGGCGGCGGTGAAGGCGGCGGCGAAGGAGGCCCTGGAGATGGGCAAGGTGGCGGTGGAGCACGCCGCAGAGTCGGCGGCGACGGCGGCGGAGGAGGCAGTGGGGAAGACCACGGTGAAGCTCAAGAGGAAGTTGTCGCCGCCGACATCGCCGGCGGGGGGGCGCCTCGACGAAGACCTGTGACCCTGTGTTCTGTACTGTAAGTGTGACGTGTTGAAAATGTGCATGCTTTTAAGTTTTGAGTAAATTCCCTGTGTACCCCTGAAAACTCACTCAATGCCTTCCATATCCCTGAAATTTACCCGATCCCTTCTATGCCCCTGAAATTTCAGTTTGATCCCTTTCATGCCCCTACCGTTACATTTTCCATTATTTCACTGTTACGTTTGGTTGCAAATGTCTTTTTTGCCCTTGATGCTTTAGGTTTAAATGTAAGCTTCAAAAACAATTGAAAATTTTGTTTGATTGCACAGCATGTGCATTTTATAAAACTAATGAGACTAAATAATTAGTGCAGAAAATTTTGACATAAATTTTGAAAATAAAATAAATGTAATAAATTAAAATTTTTATTTGAAATTTTAATAGGATAATAGATTTTTTTATCTGGAGCATTTATAAAAAAAATGTTGTGAACATTGGTAGTCCTATCTTTATTTGAATGCTCCTCATTTTTATGACTTTTTTATAAAACAAATAAATATGTATTTTTTATTTTATTATCTAAAACTATTTTTTGGGATAAATAATGCATTGCACAACAAACTCATAAGTATAATAGTCTCATGCGAGAAGCTTTTATATTTTTAATAATGTAATTCATGAATTTCTTTGTTCATCCAAGGTTAAAATGGTCATTTTTATAGAAAATAGACGGTCAACTGACGGGAGGGGTATGCAAGGGATCAAAATCAAAATTTGGAGGTATACAAGGAAGTAAGGAAAATTCAGAGGTATAGAAGGGATTAGGTAAAATTTCAGGGGTATACAAGGGATTTTCTCTTTAGTTTTTCTGTACCCATGTGAATTACAGTACGATGTGTTAGCGTCTTGTGATGGATGATGATGCTTGGAAGTTGGAAGGTGGATTGGAGTTGGACGTATTCGGCTTCAGTACTTTGGTTTACAATCTGCAAAAGCAAGCATAATAAAAATGATAGAGGAACAAACGCACTGTTTAGGGCCCGTATAGTTCCCCAAATTTTTTTCTTAAAAACATAACATCAAATCAAATCTTTGGATACATACATGAAGCATTAAATATAGATAAAAGGAAAAACTAATTGCACAGTTATGAGGGAAATCGCGAGACTAATTTTTTAAGCCTAATTAGTCCGTAATTAGCTATAAGTGCTATGTTTAGGGCCCGTTTAGTTTCCCAAATTTTTTTCTTAAAAACATAACATCAAATCAAATCTTTGGATACATACATGAAGCATTAAATATAGATAAAAAGAAAAACTAATTGCACAGTTATGAGGGAAATCGCGAGACTAATTTTTTAAGCCTAATTAGTCCATAATTAGCTATAAGTGCTACAGTAACCTACATGTGCTAATGACGGCTTAATTAGTCTCAACAGATTCGTCTCGCGGTTTCCAGGTGAGTTCTGAAATTAGTTTTTTCATTCGTGTTCGAAAACCCCTTCCAACATCCGGTCAAACGTCCAATGTGACACCCAAAAATTTCCTTTTCCCCAACTAAACACACCCTTATCTTGAATGGTGATGGGTGCTAATCAACCGACTAACAATATAATTATGGCGTGTATGTACCCAAAAAAGTGACAGAAATGACGTATTATACTATTTTTTGAAGGATAATATAGTACAATATAATTATGACGTATTGTACTATAGGAGCATTTCTAAAGCAGAGGAACAGGTATTGCAGTACATACCAGGACAGTTGTCTTCCAATGCATAGCAAAGGTTTTAACTTCAAACCAGGCTAACCAGCGGCAAGCAAATGGTTCAGATGCGGCTTAACTACAGCATAATTTCCTAATTTCCTCACCTAAATATGTAGAGAGAAAGAGAGATTCTCTCCTAGGAAACTAGAAAAACTCTTCTGGGAGTAATTACTGCTTACTACTACTAGTAAGTATGCATACAGGTGAGACACAGGAGAATATACAGAACAAATTTGATAGTGTTGAGATGATGAGGTCTTGGGAATGGCCACCACTCATTCCGGGCAGATGCTTCTGAAAATGGGCAGCCTGCGTCCATTGCTTTGACCATAAAGAGTTTGAATTATCAACTCTTCATCCTCCTCAATTGGCTCTGCCTGCGCAGATGCTGGCTGAGCTGAAGGTGTTGTTGCTTCATCAGGTTTTGGTGTTGAAAGCTCTGCCCTGGCTGCTTGGATGACAGTATCTTCCCGTGATCGAATGTCAGCAGGTGGCTTGTTGGGGATGCCTCGAGCTGTGGCAGTAGGATGATCGGCACTTGGCTGCCATGGGGAGAAGAGAGAACTGATGTCGTTGAAGTCTTGATAACCTGGAGCACCTGTCTGCCCGCCCGCCTATTCAGAAGGGAAAATGGTAAAAAGCCATTTATTGTCAACAGCGTGCAAAATAATGGTGTTAGCAATACAAGTGCCCTGAAACAATGATGTTTGTAAACCATATAGCGTGCTACCAATAGATTTAATTGAACAATGAAGCTGAAGAAACATGCCAACCATTTCATAGAACAAATCAGGTAATGGATGATGAAAAGAATAGCATAGTATAAATAACTGGAGATAATGTGTCCTGTATCACAAATCCCGACTTATCAATTACACTGAAAAAGAAATTGTTTCTAAGCTCGTAAAACATAAGGCATCCGTTAAGAAAAATGAGAAGGAAAAATCCCACGGTGAAGCTTAACAGCAGGGCTAGATTTAAAAAGTTACACTGGCAAGTCGTCATTACACATATCTGTCGAAAACTGTAGTAGTAGTTCTATTTGTATAATTGTAATGTTCTCTGGTCAGCAACAAGGACAACTAGTGGTGAGCAAGTATGCAAGTGCACAAGGAAGCTAAAAGAAAACTGGATTGAAAATTGTTCCTTCACTTCAAGAAGATTAGACAACACATGTCTATAGTGATGAACAAGAAATGCAAGTGCACAAGCTAACAGAAAACTGGATCGAAAATTGTTTATCCACTTCAAGAAGATTAGACAACACACGTCTATAGGATAAATCATGACTGTCTGATTCTGATCCCTATCTGGATAGCAAGAACGATTACAAAAGGTAACATGACAGTTATGCACTATTTCTCACTATTGAAACAGAGGGTTACTTAAGCACAAACAGAATTCTCCCACTCTTTTTCTAAAAATTCTAGTAGTACACTATATTTCTGAAATGACTGAAAATGTTAACAGGACATTACAAGCACACATCTCACAAAGGCATGCACCACCTAGAATGAATGTTATGTATGCTAACCGGTTATCGCCTTATTAAATGCATAATCAAATCCCATCATACAGAATAATGAAAACAACAACATCTACTTTAATTAATCTATCAACGCCACAATTAAACATAAACAGTTACATGTTAATTAATCTGATGCAAAAGATGTATTGGAGACACAAATGCCATTAAGGGTGTGGCCTACATGTACCATACAACATTTATGTAGAACAGTACTAAAATTAGTTGACCTGATGTACTATAGTAATCTGTTTCCTGTTTTCTATCTCATCAATCACTACTTCACAGTTGGACTTAAAATCGTACTACATCTGTAATGAAGCATGAATTGCCTGCAGAAGCATATACACTTCTATCCTAAGCTCCTAATGATCCAGAGTTCGGCACCAGTTTTTTTCTTTTCTCCTCCCATTTAAGATAGAAGGAATGAAATATCCGAATCATGGAATCAACAATAAAGCTACTGCAATGCCAAATCATGGCATTAACAAAGATACTAGAGTACATCAGTGATCAGTCGTGATTTTTTTGCAACCAAATCAGATCGTCATATTTTTATCCGATTGACCCGAAATGCGAGCGAAACTGGATCTCGAGAGCAAATACAGTGCGTACCTGTCGCTTGGAGTCATACCGACAACCTCCAGCAACCACCACGTCGCCGGCCGGCGGCGGCGGGTACACCGGCGCGGACTGCGGCGAGTAGACGAGGAGGCGGTGGTCCAGGTCGGTGGTGGCCGCGGAGGAGAAGCAGGCGCGGCGGTAGCGGAGGAGCGAGTCGTCGAGCCCGAGGTCCATCCCGCCCGACGACGACGCGGAGCCGGAGTACGGGGAGACGCCGTCCACGCCGGCGGCGACGGCGTCGAAGGCCGGCGTGAGGTAGGCCCTCAGCGACGGCGACGAGAAGCGGCGCTGCTGCCGCCGCCGCGCCGCCGACTCGGCCATCCACCTGCTTCCGGCCGGCGAGGCGGCGACGAAATCGAGGTCCATCACGACGCCCCCCCCCCCCCCCCCCTCCCCCAATCCTTCGCCTGAGCAGCAAAATTAGGGTCTCTAGTGTTAAATCCTCGAGACGGCGAAATTTAAGGAAGAGAAAATTTCGGATGGGGAAATTTCAAATATCGAACCGAAAATTAGGGTCACTAGTGTTGAAAAAAAAACTTGAAAAAATAATCCCCAATTTTCTCTCGATGGCGCATGCGGCCAATCAGGCGGTTACTAGCTCGCGATTAATACGCAAGTCCAAATAATATTGGTTTCCTGTGGATTTCTTCGATTGGGGAATCGAATAAATTTTTTTTTAAAAAAACGGCACAAATCGTCAGCGAAATGGCGTCATCACATCAGGATAGCACAAGTAAAGCACACATATACTATTCGTAAAATCCAAAAACCTCGAACAACAGATCAGGATCTAAAAAACAAAAAAAAAACCTTCAGAAACGATAAAATTCCGGACACGTTCGAACCTCTCCCACACAAAAGCGATCATCAATCCAACAAAGAAAAAAAAGTACCAAATAGCAAGCTTTGATTAAACAAGCACCGAAAAAAAAAATCCCCACCCTCCCAAAAAAAAAATCGTTAGAATACTATTCGAGAAGTCGCAGAAGAGATTCAAACATTCAAAACTCGACGGAGAGTGACTCACTCGATCCGAGGGACCGAGGCGGAGAGGTCGGCTCACCTTTGCGGCCGTGGAAGCTTCCTCCGGTGGCGCTCGCGGCCGGAAGGTCACGGTGACGCCACCATTGCTGCGTGCTCGCTCGCTCGGGCGGGAAGTGAAGACGAACTAGGAGGAAAATACGAAGGAGAAAGGAGGAGAGCGAGGTGGGGGTAGAGGATATGTACACGTGGCCCCTACGTCTCCTCGGATTCCGTTATTTTGGACCAGGGAGGCAAGGCAGTAGTGGTCCGTTGTTTTGGGCCTGGAAGCATTGGTTGGGCCGAGCCCATCTCTTGGTTGGTTTGGGCTGGTTGGTATTCCTTTTGGTTTCGGCCTTTTCTTTCCTCTCTTTCTTTTCTTTAACTGTATTCTCACAAAAGGATAGATTTGACTGTTCGGAAAAGAGGATATGCTTGAGTTCATCCGAAAACATCACAATTTCTTCATACGTCAGTTGTTGGCTTAGGCCCCATTTGATTTCGATTTATTGGGTAGATTATTGTCACAGATTATTTAGGAGTACTTGATTATAAGAATAAATTAAATATTTTAATAAATAAAATTAACAAATAGCTTAAGACAAGTGGGGTTCTTTTTTTTTATTTTGAAAGACAAGTGGTTCATATAATATACTAGTAGAAGAAAGTTTATTATTTTTAACATACATTTTTTTAAAAAAAATTGAAGAGCAAATAATCCATTTTAATAATCGTTGGGCTTAATCAAATGCAGCTCATACTATTATATTGCACCATGGAAAAGGATGGATGCACATCCCTAGACAAGTATCACATAGAAGAATGTATATTGAAACTGGAGTACTGGACAACACAGTGAGCATCAATAAGGTAACTTCCCAACATCAGGGAGCACATACAATACTAGTAGTACCTAATATCACCTCGCCGTATAGGATCAGCCACATTTGTTCAGTCAGAAGGAAACTGTTAAATCACACTACACACCAAACCAATATATTCCGTACAACATAGAAAGGTTACAAGAGTTAATTACACAAAGAATAGTACTTATTCTATATTTTGGATACAAGCTGTAAACTCTTTGGTACACCATCGCCCCTTTTAATTCCTGTATGATGCTACTACAACACCGCCAATGCAATATGTACAACCAAACAAACTATGAGACTCTTAAAACAATTGAGATCTCATATACAAACAGCTAAACTTGGATATGAGATATCCAAACTTGATGCAAATAGGAGTATGTCAAAGAACCTCCTAACACACGCTGAATAGTAGGCATGCTGAGGGGGCATGCATGGCAGGCTTGGGTTTAGATCCCAGGCACACCAATAATGCAGGAAAAAAAACTGAAATATACTTATAACAGTTTCATAGGCTATTAAGGAGAGCCCTTTTGCAAGAAGGCTGCTGAGAAGTGTCTGGCCTCGACCCTGGCGAGGTCAACTCAAGCACAGACAGCAAAAAATTCCTCTCCTGGAAATTCAAATAAATATAAATGTAAATATATTTGTCATATGGTTTTTTCAGGTAAGTATTATATGTTCGATATGAACCGGCCATATCATATGTCAAGCAGTTGAAAGCTTACACTAGCAGTAAATTTTGGAGTCGGCATGTCATCTGCGTACGGCAGGAATGTTGGGACTGTATGAGCAGGCGAAGTGAATTCGATACATGAAGGATTGTTACATTTGACAACCTCGCGTAACTTCTCAGAAGCTGGTGTTTCTGCATTTGCTTCAACTGGGGTAGTTGTCTGAGCAGGGGAGGCTAATTGAATACACTGAAGCCTGTTATGTTCGAGAACCTCGCTAAGATTCTCCGATGCTGCTATTTCTGCATCTGTTTTAGCTTGAATAACTGTGTGTACAGGAGAGCTGTATTCCACACATTGAAGCAAGCTATCTTCGATAGCAGCCTCAGTCAAGTTTTCAGATGTTGGTATGTCTTCACCTGGTTTAGCTTAAAGAATTTAGTTCATTTTCTATATGTGGTTTAAAGAGCATTTTACCAAAGTAATAATTAAGAGCATAGGTTACCAGGGCACGGTTCCATATTATTGTCTTCTGTGCTCTTATCATTTGGGCAGTCCTCCATTTTATTGTCAGGAACCATTTGTGATGTAACTTCCATGCTAGTTTGTGAAGAATTTTGCTTGTTCTCCACATCAATCTGTTCGGTCTGCTCCCTGTTTGCACAGTAATGGTAGATAGTGTCAACAACTGAGAAAATAGATTTAACCAAAATGATGACCAGATGATGATTATTACCTTAAATCCTGGTCTTCTTCCTCTTCATTCTCATAGGGGTCTACAATTAAATCGTCAAGATCCTCTAGGAGTGAAGCCATTCCCGACATACTGCTCTCTGACATGTCATTATCATCTTTCTTATCCAAATGATGCTGTAGTTGCTGAAACAGGCATAGCACAGTTTATTTCAAATAGAGTACAAGGCTGCAAGCCTAAGTTCCAAATTTAGAACAAGTTGGTGCTGTCATACCTGCCAGGCTTCGTCCATGCTTTGGCTTGTATTTTCAGTATTTATTTTCGTTGCTAGGGAGCAAAGCAAGTCGGCTCGCTGCAATAAAGTAGCAATTTTTGGATCATCCTTGTTCAAAAAATTACCCTCATGCTTAACGCCTGCAATTATGCACATAGCTGTGATTAAAGCTGGGACAAGACAAATACATCAAACTCAAATGCACATTATAGAGGAAAACAGGCTTACAATTCTGTTCCCCCGCAAATAATTGTTTTGCTGCAGTTTTAGCAACAAGATTTTGGGTATCCATTGTATTCATATTATCTTGATTGTTTTGATAAACAATTGCAAGAGGCTGTCGAGAATCTTGTGTGCTCTTGTCTTGTCCAACTAATCTCATATTTGGTGTCATATTCTCTTTGAAATCAGAATTACATGGCCTAGTTGCAGAAGAGAAAAATGTAAGTTGCTTCGCATGCTTAATAGAAAATAGTGATGCTAGTGTTATGTGTACCTCATCTGCTTAATAGGTGGTGCAGAGCCACTTGCACCAGATGTGAGACACCCAGTTTGTACCAATGCCCTCTTTGAACTTGTACTGGAACATAATGATCCATTTTCCTTGAATAGCTCGTCATCCTTGGCCCGCCTTTTGCATAGAGTAGAAAACCGATTCTTCACTGCATTATCAGTTCTGTTGTGGACAAACAAACAAAAAACATGTCAGATATTTTATTACATGTATTTTTTTCATCTTGCAGTAAACTGCATAATACAAGAAACCCACCTGCCTGAGACAACCTTTGCTATTTCAGTCCATTTGTTCCCAAGAACTTTTTGAGCCTGCATGACAATTCCAAGTAGAGAAGAATACATGATTCAATCTTGTTAAGGAATCCATGGTAGAAACAAATAATTATGAAAACAACCACAAATCTATGCAGAACAGGTGGTTTAGGGTTTCCAGTATGCGGAGTTCCAAGTCTGTCAGAGCATAAAACTTGCAGCCAAAATAATAAGAAGAAAAATATGACATTGCAAAACTAATCAATGCGCAAGCCCATCTAGACTTCTCTTATATATACAAAAATATAAATCCTATCTCCTGCTATTTACAAAAGAATCCCATTCTTTTCCCAAAAATCTGAAAAGCTGCATACGTACATGCTCAATTCCATGGGCATAGCAATATGCCTGGCCTGTTGTCTCACTGAGGAAGTAACCGACCGCATATTTGCCAATTCAGAAATCTAAAGTTTGGCCCAAAAGTTACATCACAAATGGTTCCTAATAATAAAATCAAAGTGTCTGCCAAAATTCCCAAATTCATGAAACTGACGCATATTTGCCAAATCAGAAATCTAAGTGTTTTATGCAGCAATTCCTAACTTCAGGGAAATTCAGTGTCTGGACCAAATAATTAAAATGTCACAATATCAATATCCCACCTCACACAATAGCAAGTCCTCTTCTCTGGACCACCCTCCTTTCTTGCACTCCGAGTTCAAATAATTGTACCATCTGCAGCAGTAACCAAGCAAAGAAAAAATGAACAGGGCGGCATGCATATTTCGTAAAAAATTCGAACGAAATTCCAATAAAACCACTCTTTTAGTCAGAGGATGGCGAGGTACACTGTACACACCTTCTCCTGCACTGTCTGGCCGTCTTGTCCTTGAATTGTGCCGCTATAATTGTCCAGCTACCGAAAGGAAAAGGAAAAACAGTGTAAAATATGGTGATTAAATCTAGAAAAAAAAAGTCAATTGAGATGGGAAGTGGGAAGAATTCATACTTATCAGTTCCATGAAGCGCAATTTGAGTACGAAGCACATCATCCTCCTAACAGGAAGAAAGGTGCAAACATCAGAAAAACAATTTGGTCTAAAAGTTAAACAAAAAATCGCAGACGCACTCCCAAGGAAAGGTTCGACAGCATCTGAAGCTAACAATTATAATTATATTATAATTATAATTAATTATAATTATGTAGGCACAAGTTCTTGGAAATGCAATACACTTTTCAAAAAGAAGAAAGGGACACATATTCAAACTTCGACTATTCTCGATGCTCACAAATATCACCTTAGACCAAAAAAAATAGGCAGGAGTCGAATCAAACCAAAGTCCATTTAGATAGATTATGCCTAACTATGTGAAAAATCTACTGTTCGTTAGGCAAAAAGAAGGGGAATAATTGCTAGAGGCGTCGAGAACTAATTCGACCCCCATGTTCTAGGCATCGAAATCGAGCGGGAAAGGCACAAATTCCAGGAAGTGTGATGCACTTTTCCATTATCTAAAAGGTACACAGATTCAAATTTCAATTATCCTCAATGCTCACGAAGAATATTGCCTTAAACCATAGAATTAGGTGAGAGGAACCCAACCAAAATCTTGAAAAGTAGACACAAATTCAAACTCCAATTATTCTCAATCCTCACGAATATCGCCTAAAACCACAAAAATTAGGCGCGAGGAGCCCAACCAAAGTCCATTTCGATAGGTCATGCCTAATTACGTGAAAAATCCACTGCATATTAGCCCCCAAAAAAATAAAGAAGGGGAATGATTGCTACAGGAGTGGAACCCCAAAATTTCAGGCAACCAAATCGAGCAGGAAAGCGCAAACGCACCCAAAAAAAAAACTCCCAAAATCCAGAAACACACGACTCGATAGACCACGACAACTCGTACGCACCTCGGTGCTCCAACTCACGATGTGGCGGTCCTTCTTGGCCGCCGACGCCGACGGCGCTTCGGCGGAGGCGGCGGCGGCGGGTGGGGTCAGATCGGGTCCGGTCGCCATGGTCCGGGATCCCGCATGTTCCGCGCACGGATCCCGGCAGGCCGAGGTAGGCAGCCGGCGGGCGGCGGGCGGCGGCGAGCCGGGGCCGGCTAGGGTTTGGGGAAATGGGCGCGAGTGGAGGGAATTTTTGAACCGTGGATTCGAGAGGAAGACGACGACGACGACCGAGTTGGGTTGGGTTGGGTGGAGAGGAGGAAACGAGAGAGAGGGGGGGTGGAGTGTGAGATGGGGGTAAAGGGAATTTTTTGTGCGGAAGCGGAGGTGGAGGGGTTTTTAAAGTTGGTGGGGGGCCATATGGCTGTTTTGGGAGAAGATGATGACGACGACTCGACTCCCTACAGAATGGCGGCACCGGCACGTGCAGGTTTTTGAGGATGGGGCAAAGGGAACGGTAAAGAATGGCAGTTGTACTGGTTTGTAAAATCAGGTTACGGTTTGTAAAATCACGCTTCTGATAGGCAACAATGGATTGCTTCCTAAAATGATTTGTATATGGAGTAGGTGATTATCTTAAAAATATGTAGTAATGATTTTAATTTTTTTTTGGAAAGGTTATTAATGGGTCTATTCGGCAATGCTGCTATGCAGCTGTAACGGCTGCGCTGTACAGCCAGCCTTATATACTTTCTCTATCATGCACTGTAGCACAGCTGCTGCACAGCAGCTGCAATTTAGCTGCAGCGAACAAACCCAATAGTCTTTTGTCATTTGAGAGATACTCATAAGATTCATACCGGTGGTCGAATAATGATATCCTAAACCCCTACTAATATATTCAAGCCGTATAAAAGGAGGCTATAGTTGTATTTCTTGTATACTCTACCTCAATATCTATTAGAATTACATATTTCCTACTTCCTCCATTTTAGGTTATATAAGACGTTTTGACTTTAGTCAAAATCAAATTGTTTCAAGTTTGACTAAATTTATAGACAAATATAGTAATATTTATAATACTGAATTAGTTTCATCAAACCAATAATTGAATATATTTTTATAATAAATTTGTCTTGGGTTGAAAATATTACTACCTTTTTTACAAACTTGGTCAAAATTAAAGCAGTTTGACTTTGACGAAAGTAAAAACATCTTATAACCTAACACGGAGGAAGTAGTTGCCACGTTCATATTGTTTGAATTAGATTGTATCATATTTAAGATACCGGTAGGTGCACACATATTTCTCTCTTCTTCTACTACTTGTTTTCTTTTTTGGTACCTCTGGTGAATTGTGTTCATGAGTTGCATCATGCGTGTCATGCAACGGGGGCTATATATGGTGAGCTCTTGTGACTTGGTTTATGGTGCTACGCTCCCACTACGTTTGGAGGGCGAAATGGTCGATCTAAGCATAAGAATCTTGTGAAATTGGTAAGCACACTGAATTGAAATTTTTGAGTTTTCATTTTTCGAATTTTCAGTGTAGCTAGCAGATGCCTTCGTTTCCATTTCGGCGCGAGTTAGGATTACTTTGAAACTATATGCTGTTCTTATCCCTGTATTTAATTGGTAAGCTCACCGCCGTGTAACTTTCAGGTTGCGTGCGATTTTTTTTTCAACAACAAAATAAAAAACCGATGAGTTAGAGAGACAGAGAGCAGTCTTCAGAGCAAGGTTTGAATAAGACGGTTCTCAGGTCTTTAGGTTCTGAATAAATATAATCTTCAGGTTTTGAATAAATATACTCCATGAAGGTCTAGCAGTAAATAATTAAGATGGTTTGAACTGAGCATCTGTAGTTAGGCAACCTTCTAGTTAGTGAAAGTTGCCATTTATCCACTATACGTGATAGTGACCTCTAGCTATATTACTCATTTTCAAAGGTGATGCCAACGGCTAATTTCGAAAGTCCAAGCTTCATGAAAACTACTCGCTCCGTTTCAAAATATTTGACACCGTTGACTTTTTAGTACGCATTTAACCATTCGTCTTATTCAAAAAATTTAAGTAATTATTTATTCTTTTCATATCATTTGATTCATTATTAAATATACTTTCATGTACACATATAGTTTTATATATTTTACAAAAAATTTTGAATAAGACGAACGGTCAAACATGTGCTAAAAAGTCAACGGTGTCAAATATTTTGAAACGGTGGGAGTATTTAATATTATACTCGGCACTACCATCAGTATCAGGCTTCAGAGAACTTGGCAACAGGTAGCATTGTAAAACTGAGCTGAATTCTGAAACAAACCGGGCCAACGGCCAACCAACCGAAGCAAATATTCCTGCTTTCTCAGTCCCAAAGTAAGTTCTTTTTTATCCCTTCCGTTTATCCCAAAATAAATTCATTTTGCAGCAATCATTGCACCGGAGTTTATGAAAGTAAGGAATAAATATATTATGAGTAGGTAAAATGTGGAATAATTATATTGAGATTTAATAAAGTAGATGTATTCTCGTATTTTGTTTTTTAATGATATGTGTGGATAGCTGAAAAGAATTATTTTGGGACAGATTGAGCGGTGCACTGTTCCATTTCAGTTGACCGGTGCTGATCAAAGGCTCAAAGTCTCAAATAGATTAGGCATCTTGAAAAGCTAAAACAAGTATCCTTGCGAAAAGCCAGGTGTCACCCAAGTCAGACCCTTTATAGATGCGACTAAAACTTTTAAGTCCTTATCACATCAAATGTTTAGACACTAATTATAAATATTAAACGTAGACTATTAATAAAACCCATTTATAATCTTGGACTAATTCGCAAGACGAATCTATTGAGCCTAATTAATCCATAATTAGCATATATGATACTACAGTAAACATTCTCTAATTATGGGTTAATTAGGCTTAAAAAATTTATCTCGTGAATTAGTTTTCATTTATGTAATTAGTTTTGTAAGTAGTATATATTTAATACTCTAAATTAATGTCTAAATATAAGGACTAAAGTTAAATCCCTCTATCTAAAGACCACCTCACTCATTCGTGCATGGTCATTGCAATCGCAAAGAGGCTTTTGTAATGGCAAGAGCTGTACATGTACTACTTCTACTGTTGCTGCTCATCAGTTGCAACTGTGATGAGCAGGCAGCATGCAAGAGTGCAGCGCATGTGCTGATCTGATGTGCATTTTTTGCGAGGTGACGAACTGCATCTGCTTTTTTTCCCTTGCTGTGAATCTGTTTTTCTGATGAGTAGAGCAGTGGTCATCTTTTTTTGGAGGGCCTTTACGCCTGTCAGATCCTGTCAGGACCGAAAGTGTCCAACGAAACCATTAACCATAGAGAATCCTATGCAAAGACGGGGTCAGTCCCCACCTCGGTTCTTGGTTGTCCCAGCTGGTCTTCAGTCTTCACCTCGGCCTCTGTGGACATGTTGCAGTCTTGCAGATCAAGTGCATATAGCAGCAGTAGATGAAAAGAGAAGTCAAAAAAATGAATAGAGAAGATCGTACTAGGAGTGTACATGGTAGTAGTAACTGCTGAGTATATGTACATGTATGTAGTATGGGAGTAGAACTACACGGTGAACTCGCAGGTGGCTTCGGGCTCACCACTACGAGAGGATCACGGTCACTCACTCACTCTGCAGTATCTGCAGTAGCAGTAGCTAACAGGTGGATTCGGTATCATATATCAGCAGCAACTACTGTATTTATAGTACTACAGACAATCCCTATTATTAGAAAATATGTTGTCATGCAGGGGAGGGAGAGAGAGAGCGCGCGCATAAAGAAGAGTGGTCTATCATGATGATCATGTATTCTGCGAGAAACGGTGGAATATTAACTGGAAGAAGCGGTGCCAACGTCTTAGGGTTCGTGTTGGGAGAACGCTTCGTTCTGCCACACAATGTGATACCCCTTTTATGGTCAGATGTAGAGAGTGAAGGTTTGGAGGAGTAGCGGCTAGAGAACAGGGACCGGATAGATGGAGCTAAGGGAGGAAGACGAGGGGACGATGTGGCTAGATCTAGAGGGTGGGATGGTCGTAGCTAGGGGGCATGATGGGAGGACATTGCCATCACCGACCAGGGAGACGACGAGTAGATCTAGATGGCGGCGTCACTATGTGAGTATGTGAACATATTTGGATGGCGACGACCTCTATACTCGACGATGGCTTGCATAGAGCGTGCAGAAAAGAGCTCCCATTGATTCAACCACCAGCATGGAGAAGTGGTGCGATGCGGCTTCTAACGACGAGAAGGAAGGAACGTGTGTCGTTGGTACTCAAGATCAAGGAGGAGTGGGCTTGATCTTGAGAGCGGCACAATGATTCAGCGACGGAAGGAGAACACTATATAGTGTCTAGTGACAGAAGAAGTAAAGGCCGCGGCAACAAGGTTTTGCCTTCGCTTGGAACTCATCGAGAGTCAGAAGTAAGCGCATGTTCACTTTGATGCCATTTTCAACCATACCAATTTTTTTTAGCAAAATTGCCAAAAAATGGTTATGTTTAATTTGTTGCCAAATTTAATCAATATATAATAAATTCTGCCAAAATTTTGGCAATATTGTAATCTTGCTAAAATTTTGGCATTGACAAAACTTGGTAAGGTTTATTTTGGCTACAATCTGAACAAACCCTATGAGGGAAAGAGAACCAAGGGGGGCAAGGGTTTAAATGTGATAGAATTTTCTCATTTGAGATTTGTTTTGTAAGCTAAAAACGAATTAGAAAACTATATAAGAACTTGAATTAAAAAAATAGAGGTATTATAAGAACTTGTAAGCTACAAATTTTGAACTTGAACTATATAAGAACTTAATAAAAATTGTGTATTTACTTTCAATACTATTATATTTTAACTGTAACAAAAAATACAAAATTATGACAATTTTAAGACAATTAATTTATTAGAATTTTTTATTTTTTTCGCTCTTTATGTAGAATGAATGTGAAGATGTGGCTTTACATGTATATGAAATATTATTGAAATTACATGTACAATTATTTCTAAAATTTTTAATAATATTTGTTAGTTAGTGTGTACGGTGTGTATACGTGAAGGCTTGTGTGTATATGATATGTTCACAAACAAATGTGGGGTGATTGAGGATAAGATTAGGTAAATAAAAAATTAAATGAGTGGTGCTTTGGTAAGGGAAGTAGTTTTCAAAAGTACTTATATTTATGTTTAGATTTTAAATGGTAGAAAAAGTTTATATTTATTAGGAAATAGAGAAAAGTACGAGGCTTCCATTTTGTTCGCCCCTGCGAATTACTACAAAGAAGGGAAGCACCTGCCAAAAAATAGCGCCTGTATATGTCTCTCTCGATGCTGTTTACAAAGAATTTTC